AAATGCTGATTCAAAGGGGGCACATGCATCCCAATGTTTATAGCAGTGCTATAAACAATAGCCAAACTATGGAAAGAGTCCAAAAGTCCATCATCAGACAAATGGATTAAGAAGATGTGACTGGGGTGCCTGGGTGGCTCAGTTTGTTAAGTGTATGACTTTGGCCCAGGTCATGATCTCAGAGCTTTGAGTTTGAGCCCCAGGTCAGGCTCTGTGCTGACAGCTCAGAGCCTGGAGCCTGCATCAGATCCTGTGTCCCTCTCTTGCTCTGCCCCTTCCCCATTCATGTTCATTCTCTCTCTAAGAATAAATAAAACTTAAAAAAAAAAAAAAAGATGTGGCATATATATACAATGGAATACTACTCAGTAATTAAAAAGAATTAAATCTTGCCATATGCAACAATGTGGATGGAACTGGAGAGTATTATGCTAAGAAATATGTCAGTCAGAAAAGGACAGATATTATGTGATTTCACTCATCTGTGGAATTTGAGAGACTCAACAGATGAACATAAGGGAAGGGAACGAAAAATGAGACAAAAACAGAAGGGGAACCAAACCATAGGAGACTCTTAAATACAGAGAACAAACTGGGGGTTGCTGGAGGGAGATGGGAGGGAGGGCTGGTCAAACAGGTAATGGGCATTAAGGAGTGCGCTTCTGGGGATGAGCACTGGGTGTCACATGTAACAGATGAGTCTTTGGGTTCTACACTGTATGTTAACTAACTTGAAAATAAATTAATAAAAGAAAAGTAAAGAAGTCAGAATGGGAAAAAAGATAAATGGCATAATATTGAAATAGAATAGAAATCTTAGAAACATCATAAGTACTCAAGTATTATTTAGTGATATAGATTTCATACAGTAAGTTTCAATTTAAAGTTTGAAAGCCACTGTTCTATACATAACAAGACCTTTCACATAAACTATCTCATTTAATCAGGAAACTCTGTCAAGTGGACAGGAAGATGTTATCACCATTTTACAAATCAGAAAATTGGGGCTGAGATCAGCTGAGTGACTTGCCCTTAGTGTTACTCAGTAGGCTAAAGAAAGGATATGAAGCAGAACCCAAGTCTCTAAACTTAAGGTAAAAAGATTGTTACCTGAGAGCAAAAATCTCTTGCATGGTTCAGAAGAATAGAGACATCATAGAGTCAGAGGTCTTTGGCAGTGGGTTCAATCATTAAACTAAGTATCAATACAAAAATGAACTATCGGGACCTCATAAAAATAAAAAGCTTCTGCACAGCAAAGGAAACAATCAGCAAAACTAAAAAGGCAACCGATGGAATGGGAGAAGATATTTGCAAATGACATATCAGATAAAGGGTTAGTATCCAAAATCTATAAAGAACTTATCAAACTCAATCCCCAAAAAACAAATAATCCAGTGAAGAAGTAGGCAAATGACATGAATAGTCTTCTACTCCCAAGAAGACCTCCAGATGGCCAACCAACACATGAAACAGTGTCACTCATCATCAGGGAAATACAAATTAAGACCACTATGAGACATCACCTCACACCAGTCAGAATGGCTAATATTAACAACTCAGGTAACAACATCCTCAGATGTTGGCAAGGATGCAGAGAAAGAGGATCTCTGTCGCACTGCTGGTGGGAATGCAAACTGGTGCGGCCACTCTGGGAAACAGTATGGAGGTTCCTCAAAAAATTAAAAATACAACTACCCTATGAGCCAGCAATGGCACTACTAGGTAGTTATCCAAGGGATACAAGAGAGCTTTTGCAAAGGGGCACATGCACCCCAATGTTTATAGCAGCGCTATCAACAATAGCCAAATATAGAAAGGGCCCAAATGTCCATTGTTGGATGAATGGATAAAAAAGATGTGGTATATATATAATGGAGTATTACTTGGCAATCAAAAAAGAATGAAATCTTGCCATTTGTAACTATGTGGATGGAACTAGAGGGTATCATGCTAAGTGAAATTAGTCAGTCAGAGAAAGACAAATATCGTATGATTTCATTCATATGAGTAACTTAAGATACAAAACAGATGAACATAAAGGAAGGGAAGAAAAATAATATAAAAACAGGGAGGGGGACAAAGCATGAGACTCTTAAATATAGAGAACAAACAGAGGGTTGCTGGAGTGGTTGTGGGAGGGGGGATGGGCTAAAGGGGTAGGGGACATTAAAGAAGACAGTTGTTGGGATGAGGACTGGCTTTGATACACAGGGAATGAACACTAGAATCTACTCCTGACATCACTGTTGCACTATATGCTAACTAACTAGGATATAAATTTTTAAATTAATTAATTAATTGATAAAAAAGAAAGAGCTATTATAAAAACAAACCAAAAAAACCCCCAACTAAGTATCAGTATATTAGATAGAAGTGTGAAAAAAATTTTATCAAGATTTTTATTTTTCCACACTGGCTTGCTAACCTTTGTATACCCAGAGTTACTTGTGGAATAAATAAATGAATGAATGAACACTGACCACACAATTCCTGTTCATCTCCTATCAGCCAGATCCTCTGATCACCTTCAATTATGCATGCTCCTCCATTTGCCTGGAACCTCTCCTCTTTTTTCCCACTGACCTTTTTTTAAAAACTTCTAATTTAAAAAAAAAATTGTTTTATTTCTGAGAGACAGAGACAGCGTGAGCAGGGGAGGGTCAGAGAGAGAGGGAGATACAGAATCTGAAGCAGCTCCAGGCTCTGAGCTAGCTGTCAGCACAGAGCCCGACACGGGGCTCGAACCCAAGAGCTGTGAGATCATGACCCGAGCCGAAGTCAGACGCCCAACCGACTGAGCCACCCAAGTACCCCAAAAACTTCTAATTTTTATTTTTAACTCCTTTTTTTATGAGGAAGCTCTGTGGCCGGTGTGGGGCTTGAACTCACAACCCCAGATCAAGAGTTGCATGCTCTACAGGCTGAGCCAGTCAGGTGCCCTTCCCCACTGACTTTTAGAATCAGCTCTTTAATAGTCCTCTCGGGGCCACCTTCCACAAGTCCCCAGACAGGTTTATTTCCTCCTCTGTGTTCCTTATATGGGCCTTATCTAATTGTACTGTAATGATCTGTTTTACAACTGTTCCCTCATACTCCTTGCGCCTTTGCAATCCTTTCTACTCCCTCTCCCCCAATCCCAGAGATAGCAACTATATTGTATTTCAAAAAGCATAAACCACAATAACCACCACATTGCTTGTAAATGAAGTGGCTGTGTAATACCTGTTGACTGATAAAGTGGAAAGAAAAGGCAAACAACGCAATTATCTGACACTAGAGAAACAAGAACCCTGCTGCTTCCCTTTGAGCTGAGAAGACTAAACTATTTCATTGTGGGTTAAAGTTTTTTTTCTGAAGACATGGACGGTAGTTGGAAGGCTCCACGCCTCTGCCTCGGTGGTGGCAGGCCACCACTCAGTGGAGGTGTGAGTGCACTGCAGGGTGCTGGCACTGCTGGCCAAGTCAGACTCCAGACCAAACCGCAGTCCCCCACCTCTAAGCCATCTGGACCTGGCCCTGTCACTGAATAAGTCTTAGGCCCTAAGCTGTCTAGCTCTGCATCCCCCAGTGTTAAGTTACTTAGGACACCAGTGAAATAGATGGCTTCACAAGACTTGCTCTAAAAAGATTGTGAATCACTAGGTTGGAGATAAGGCACCCAGTATTTTGTATCTTTCACCAGCATCCCAGTGATTCTTACAATCAAGGCCGTTAGGAAACTAATCATCTTTGTGTCACTCACATTATAGAATTAGGGCAGTTATTTACTCTTCAGTGATTTTACTTCCATGTTAACCTTGGAATATGCTATAGGTTAATAGATAAAATGTTCCTGAGGTTGAAGTTGTAGTTTATTAACATTTAGAATACATTATTCTGCAGCGTTTACCTTCTTTTTAGCAGGGTGATTCAAGTGAGAGGCAAAAACCATAGCCACCCCCAACGTCAGAACTGTTCTGGCCACGTGAGCCAAACTAGGCATCGAACCCCAGTGCTGGGATGATTCTGAGTATCATCGGATCCAACTCACTCCTTCTGTAGCAGAGCCCAGAGAACGGAGGTGACCACCCTGTCTTCCTCACCAGACTTTGGATGGAAAAGACAGAACTGGGGCTGGCCTTCCTTTAACAAGATGCACTCTTAGAAGCTGTCCGAGAAAAGGAGAGCTGAGAAAACACAGGCTGGGCTTTTTACTCCTATTTTCACGAAACCGCAAGTCCGCTTCATAGTGAGAGATACGGGCAACATTTAGTCAGCTCTTGCTGGTCGCCTGTCTTCCCTCCTAGTCAGGTCCCGTCTCTCCTTGTTAACCCGGACTCTGGTGGGAAAAAGAACAGCAAACGGTTTTGAAGAGGGAGGAAGTCTTCATCTTTCGTGACCTCATGACATCCGCCTGGGCCGAAAAGGTAGCGGCCGCTTGGCTGAGGACCCTGGGGACTTCAGAAAGTTTGCTCCAGTGTAGAAGGGGTGGGACCCTTCGAAACACAGCACAGGGCCCACAGATAAACCCTCCTACTCAGAAGCCTCACAGAGCGAGACGCGCGCCCTGAGGGAGTCGCGCGCGCAAGCGCACGACTGCCCGGCAGCCGGGGCCGGGCGCCCGGAGTCGCCCGAGCGCGGGTCACGTGGGCCGCGCAGCCCTCTGCGCTATGTCCCTACAAGGACTTGGACACACGGGGCCCCGCCCCTAGCCGTGGCCTGGAATGTGCGGGGAGGCAAACTTACAGGGCAGGCTCACCCATTTGCCAACAGGAAAGGGGGGGAAAAGCCTACATTTTAAGAGGCGGTATAAAAAGATGGAAACTCAGTCGAACCATTACACGAACGAACCATGACACATTCTTCTATGTTCTAAGTCGCCCAGTTTATTCTCCTTCCTGTGCACTCGTTCAAAATTGCGCCCTTCTAACACACTGGCAACTCCCCCCCACCCATCGTCTTTCTATTAAGTCAGGCCCATTCTGTCGGCCGACCATGGTGACTGGGTTTCCTTCCGGTTTGCTACGCAGAGGCCGGAAGTGTCAGAAGGGGGGTCTGGGTGTAGAAGAGTGTCGGTAGCGGCAGCGAGGGCAGCGAAGGGGTTACTGGAGTGCTGGGATTCTTGCGGCTGTGCAGGGTGAGTGGTGCTCGTGATAAGGCGCGCGAGGCCCATCGCGGGGGCCCACCTCCATGGGGCGGCTGGGAGGGCAGCGGCGGCCACCGGCTCCGGGAATGCACCTGGGCCGATGTACTAGCGGGTTCCTGGTTTCGAGCCCAACGGCCAGCTCCGGGATCGGAGGCCACGCCCGGAAGTCGCCGAGGCGCGGACTTTGTCCCTTTGCCCAAACTCGGATCTCGGGAAGTGTGGCTGGCGCCGCGATCTTGGTCGACAGCCGGGCCTGCGAAACCCGAGCCCAGCGACGCTGACTCCTGAACTATGTTTAGTTTCTAACGTAAACTTGCCCGATTCAAGAGAGTTTGCGCAAAAACCGAAGCCCAGTGTCCCCCCGTGCTGCAGCTGTTGTTGCAGCTGTGTGGCCACGTTTAGTAGGAATAACCAACTCAAATTAGCAGCTTCCTCAGCCCAGCATCCGCTTTTGTAATTAGAACTTTTTTTTTTAAGTGATACTTTGCAAAGAGAGGTTGAGGGTGTAGATTGCCGCTTGAGAAAACTCCAAACTACAATACCATGTTCCTTTTGGGTGGAGACCTCGGCTTATGTCAGTTTGCCAAAGTGTTTCCTTTTAAAGTAGTTGAGTTGATATATGAAAGTATGTATCAGTTCGTAAACTTTGGAACAAATAAAAATGCGTTCAGTTGAGATTTTAACGTAAGTGAAAAATGTTTATATCTGAAGGCGAAGAAAGTGAGGATTTTTTAAAACCACTGTTTGTTTCATGTTCTGGAAGGCTTTTGATAAAATTTACCAAGAAAAGCTTTCCGTTTTCAGGAGTGAGACTTTACTGGCAAGTGAACCTTGATAAGTAATTGCTTTTGTAAAGTGCGACGAACTTTTTGGGTGTGGCTGTCTAAGAAATCTAACCCTACCTTTAACCGGAAGTTTGCATAGGAATTGAAAACTCTGTTCATTTGGAACAGAAGCACCAACCTGAAAATATATTGCTAAAAACCTACGGTTGGCACAAAAGCAATCAAATATACTTAGCTTGAGGGGAAAGTACATTGATAAATGAGATAGGAAATTTGGTCTGGATTTGGAAAGTAGATACTACCACACTAGGAAAGTGTTTTCAAAGATGGGCGTTTTTCTTTCAAGAATATATCATACTTCCTATGATACTATCATTTGGAGTACCAGTTCTGTAGAAAAAACATCTCTAGATTATTTTATATCTATTACCACTTTATAAATGCTAGACTCTAGAATTCTAACAAGAGTAATAAAGTATAATATTAATATGGATTAATATTTTATAAATGAAATCATAGTATTTCGAGAATCTGAAAAAATCTTTCAATTGCCCTTGGTGTGATGAAAAAAAGCTTCTTTGAAGACATTTACTCTTCTTCTACCACTTAATCTAGTCTAATATTTTCCTTACATGATTTGTATCCCTTATGTTGTCATAACCCTGAATTGAGTTTCTTCATATTTGATCATGCTAAACACACACACACACACACACACACATACATACACACACACAAATTCATTGCTACAACACTTAACATTCCCTAATTTAAAACAAGGTTATACTCCTTTAGATCTGTAAACTGAATATTGTTGACCACCATTGACTATGTTTCATTTTCTAGTGCATGTGAAATCCTTTCATATTTCATAGAGACCTGCTCTGCAAGTTTCCCTGCTTTAAAGTTTCATACAACAAATATGCCTTCACATGAAAGATCTTTCATTAAATGCTCCAAAAATAGACTCCAGGCACTAACTTTGATGGGTGAGAATCCCATAACTTGAAAATCTCAGATGCTTACATTTTCCCATCCTAAATAAAGAATATTTACATTGATACATGAAATATTTTCATTGTTTTTTACCCTAGCTTATAAATTTCTATGAGAGTTGTGCATTTGCTAAAGACTTGTTACATAAAGAGTTACAGTCTCACTTGTTTGGGAAAAGTCAAAGTAGATAACATGCTAGAATCATAGCAAGGAGAACAGTGACAATATCATAAGTGATCTGCTCTTTGCAATCATAACACTGTGTCTCATATGGCACCCTCTTCATCAGTGTTTATTCCACCCACACTTTTAGTTTGGTAAGAAAAACTAAACCACACTTTCCTTATTTTAAAGATTTTATTTTCTTTTTCTAAGTAATTTCCACACCCGACATGGAACTTGAGCTCACAACCCCAAGATCAAGAGTTGCACAGTCCACCGACTGAGCCAGCCATGTGCCCGTACACTTTCCGTATTTTAGAACAAATACTGTGAAGCTGAACTCCCTATTGCTGAAAGGCTCCTAGTTTCTTGTGGGAGATAAACTCCTAGACAAGAGCATAACCTCCTTGAAAAAGGCCCAGGTAGTAACTTTCTAACATTATACTACCACTTTTTGGTAGAATTAACTATTTTAATTTTTTAGAATTAAAACTACCATCTGAGAGGTACCTGGGTGGCTCAGTCGGTTGAGCGTCCAACTTCAGCTCAGGTCATGATCTAATGGTTCGTGGGTTCGGGCCCCGCATCAGGCTCTGTGCTGACAGCTAGCTCAGAGCCTGGAGCCTGCTTCGGATTCTGTGTCTCCTCTCTCTGCCCCTCCCCCATTCATGCTCTGTCTCAATAATATATAAATGTAAAAAAAAAAATTTTTTAAACCCACCATCTGAATCTCTTAATTTTAAGGATGTCTCCTAGCTTCTAAATGGTACAAGATTTTTCAGAGTCTTCCCCCACCACTTCAATCTTTTAGAAACAAAGATCTTTCTCAACTCACGGTATTTAACAATCATGTACCACCTTTGAGTTATTTTTCATTATTGTCACACATTGTTTTAACTTGAGAGTTCTACTTCAGGAATTAAAACTATGACTCGTTTCATAAATTTAACCAATTATTTCATTTCCTTTTTTTAAAATGTATATTTATTTTTGAGAGCAAGAGCGTAAGCTGGGTAGGGGCAGAGAGAGCGAGGAACAGAGGATCCAAAGCGTGCTTTGCGCTGACGGCAGCCACCCCAACGTGGGTCTCAAACTCACAAACCGTGAAATCATGACCTGAGCCGAAATTGGATGCTCAACTCACTGACCCATCCAGGAGCCCCTCATTTCATTTCTTTATAGTTGCTTCCGCAATTATATTTTCACCTTTTGAAGATAGGACACTTGCCTTACATTTCTTAAGTAGTTTTCAACACTAGTGATATTTGATGCACATTGGTGTAATTCATTGATCATGTTAAAGATTGATGATTAAGTATTGATTGAGCTAAAGAAGAGTTTTATGGAAGACCACTGACAGTGCTGACCAAAGGGGGGAAAAAAAACCTTTATAACTTTTGCAAACTGTTTTTACAATGAATACAAATTAAGGAATGCACGATTAAAAGAAACACTAATGAGAAATGCTTTAAAATTCAAATATATATATATAATATATACATATTATATATATAACTTTATGTAAAGGTAACCTAGAGGACTCCCATCAAATTTAGTATTGACTTTTTATAGATTAAAAAAATGTGTCAACCGTTTGACCTAGAATTCTCGTCAGTTTCTTTGTTCTTAAAATAACCGACATTCCTGCCTCATGAGGGGAAGACAGTGTTATCAAACAAAACCAATGATTTTTAAAGACATGCTTTGGTTTGCAAAGACATAGCAAAGAGAGGTGGACTGGTAAATATGTGCCACTCATTGGTCTCAGTCACTCACCCCAAGTCCTTGAGTACAGTTAAAAGATGGTAGAATAATATACACTATAACTCTTTCTAGTTTTTAAAAGTACATTTAGAGGGGCGCCTGGGTGGCTTAGTCGGTTAAGCGTCCGACTTTCGCTTGGGTCATGATCTCGCAGTTCATGGGTTCGAGCCCCACGTCGGGCTCTGTGCTGACTGCCAGTGCTCTGCCTGTTTCAGAGTCTGTGATTCCCTCTCTCTCTGACCCTCCCCTGCTCACGCTGTCTCTCTCTCCTAGAAATAAATAAAAACATTAAAAAATACATTAAAAAAACATTAAAAATTTAAAAAAAAATAAAAATAAAAGTACATTTAGAATAGGGGAAATATTAGATAATGGTATTTACTGTCCCAAAGGGTGATACAGAATGAAAATAGGCACTCATGAATGGTGCTGATAAATTTTGAAAGGCAGCCTTACAAATTGTGATTAAAGGAAACTTTAAAGGAAATTAGGGAGAAGTGGGTATCATAGCTTCTGGGTCACGTAGAGTATATCTTACCAACAGCACATTCCAGTGTATCGCTGAGGGCTATATTGGATGGACTGGAATTTGTGACTCTCCTTTGTGGAATTTCCTGCTAAAATCTGAGAACAGATTTAGCTTTAAAACAAAAATCTGAGGCAGAGCTTTTCTAATTATTTCTATAATTGAATTTAGTCTGAGTGATGTGGTATACTCGGGAAGAATGTAGGAAACAACTTTTTAAACTCATGGGAAGCATTGTGTTCTAAGGTCACTTTGCGGGGAGATCTAGGTAGTACTTCATTCTTTGCAGGCCACAGATTTATTTTTAGAGCAAGGGCATAGTGTTTTGCTACATCATAGCTAAATGTTGTTTTCAGAACGTAAGCTTTAAAATTGTTATCCTGGTCAGAGAGTGAAATCAGTAGTGCCTATTTTAGGCCTGCTTGGAAGAATATAACTCAATACAGTGACCTAGTCTCACTGGTTACAGGTTTTGCAGACTACCATCGCCACCTCAGCTCTGAAGGATGGTACGGTAAAATTTTGTTACCTGAGGACTATGCCAAACAAATTTTTATAGTCTTTTAAAGATTGAGTGTTGAAAAGGAAATTGCCTTTTCATTTCAGTTGTTATTAGGCATTCTTTTTATTTTTAACTTGAATTTTACAGGGATAAATTTAGATTATTAGAGAGTAAAGGTAGTTTCCTTAGCTCTTAAAATATTTTCTAAAACAAAAACAAAATTGGCTTTAAAAACTGTTATGCTAGGACTTTTGTCTAGAGAATTTAGTCACACCTCAAGTGATTTAGCTTGGCTCTGTGAAAGAAATTGGTTTTGATAGAGTGGAAATATCTGTAAAAGTTATAGGTGAATTAATAGTTTTTTATACTTTCCAGTTAGCTTTTCAACAAATATTTTTTGTGAACTACTTTGATTCCAGAAGTGAGGGTGCAAAACAATTGTTAGTCGTAAGTGGAAGAATGCCATTTGACAATGGAAATTAAGAGATGAAGACCTATGAATTAGTCTTCCTTCCTACTTTCTGTCTACCTTAGAATGGGACAGCTAGTTTAGGGTAGGGCTGTGGGAGACACCTGTTGAAGATGAACTAGTATTCCCCAATACCACCATAGCGCTGAAGTATAGAACCAGTACTGTTTCCCCAGGGTACTTACATATTTTTCGTTTCCTGTTTTCTATATTATCAAACCAGTAGATTTAGTTGTCACCTCTTACCTGGCTACACTGCAGCACAGGGGACATGCAATCTTGTTGATATGCTCTGAGCTTTGAATTTATGTGGGGCATAGTTTGGAATTTGAAGTTACTGATGGACTGTTCATTAGATATTACGACTACTAACGATGAGAGAACTCAAAGCATGAGTCTGGTTTTTCTCTTTGTAGTTCAGTTCTGTAAGTAATAGAATTGGTTAATTGAGACAGATTTTTGCTAAGTGATACTGTCCTAATGAGTAGTTTTTAGGCACATCACTAAGTAGCTCAGACATGTCAGGCAGTTTGATGCAGTTTACTTTTTATTAATCTTTGTGTTTTTTTATTTCCCTTCCTCATTAGGATTTAACTGCCACCATGTCGAGCAAAAGGGCAAAGACCAAGACCACCAAGAAGCGCCCCCAGCGCGCAACATCCAATGTGTTTGCCATGTTTGACCAGTCACAGATTCAGGAATTCAAAGAAGCTTTCAACATGATTGATCAGAACAGAGATGGTTTCATTGACAAGGAAGATTTGCATGATATGCTTGCTTCCTTGGGTAATGATCAACTTTAATATTATAGATAGAATTTCCATAATGCCTGTGAAGCCAGTCTAATGATGTTGTAGTTTACTAAGATTCAAAGTCTGGAACAGTGTTTCCCAAAGTGTTTGCTTTGGCCCTTGGACCACCTGCAAATTTCTGGCCAGGCCTCAGGATTGGACTGGGCGCCAGTTGTGTGTGTGTGTGTGTGTGTGTGTGTGTGTGTGTGTGTGTGTTGCAAATATGGATACTGATTATGAGAGCAATGTTATTTCTCCTGTCATCCCAAAAGAATACTATACTATCTCTAGACTCTTATTATAGGCCTTATTCACTGAGAAGACTTTTTCCCAAACAGTTTTGCTATTATGAATACATAGAAAACTATATAAATGAAAATCTTTCTTGTCAAAATATTTACTGTGATGACTATTTGGTGCATTTTGTGATGTAATTAAAATTATGACCCTCTTTTTTATTCAGGGAAAAATCCAACTGATGAGTATCTGGATGCCATGATGAATGAGGCTCCAGGGCCCATAAATTTCACCATGTTTCTCACCATGTTTGGTGAGAAGTTAAATGGCACAGATCCGGAAGATGTCATCCGAAACGCTTTTGCTTGCTTTGATGAAGAAGCAACTGGTAAGTCTGAGGTAACCTTTAATTACTAAGTGATTTAATTTTTAGTTGCGGTAACTAAAACAAACAATAACTTGAAATATGATGACATAATACCCTCAGGTTTATTCCATACCTGTTTTTTGGACAGGCTTTTCCTGTGGCATGTTAATCACTCATTTTACAGCCTCTGCCCTTAAATATTTAATTTACAATTTAATAGGTGTATTTTGGAACTTCTCTAGGAACCTTACGTTATACTTTTACTAGAATAACTCCATAATGGTTAAGCTGTTAGTAATTGTGTTGAGTAACTTTTACCAGGCAATCTTGGATAAAGTATAAATTGCTATAGGCCATGATACCAGTACAGTCCTGTATTTGTTTAGCAGGTACCTCTCAGCTCTGAGATCATTTAAATCTGATGTCTAACATTTTGCTCTAGAATCAGACTCCCTGGTTTTATATACCTATTCTGTATGGCAGCTATGTGATTGCAGGCAAGTGACTTAACTTTTTCTAAGCCTCAATTTTCTTATCTATAAAATGGGCACTAATATAACCTACCTCATAGTGTTTTTTGATGATTAAGTGAGGAAATGAGATAATTTATACAAAGTGCTTATTAGCACACTGTTGGTATAGACTTAAACTCTCAAAAAACCTCAAAATTAACTACATAAAGGCTTGGTCTTTTGGCAAAAGTGCATATAAGAGAAACATAAGGGTGTAACTCACATGGCAAGTGTTTTGAGAAGGAAGGCACACCCTTTATTTACGTATTAGTTGGACTGTTTTATTAAATAGTCCCGGCATAGTCTGTTGTTGGAAGCATGGTCTCCGCATAGTAATGGCCCCATTGGGCCTCTGCAGGTGCACCATCGTCCTGTCCTCCTGTCTCATCTTCCTAACCTCCTTCCAAGCTCTTCTATGCCTGTTGTCCTAACTTACCTCTACCATTGCTCCCTCTCTGTCTTCCTTACCACATCACCGTCTCCCTCTTAACACTGAAATTCTTTTTCTTATTTTTAAATTTTTTTAATGTTTATTTTTGAAGGAGAGAGAGTAGAAGGTGAGTAGGAGACACAGAACCTGAAGCAGGCTCCAGGTTCTGAGCTGTCAGCACAGAGCCTAAACTCACCAGCCGTGACATGATCTGAGCTGAAATCGGACACCTAACCTAAGCCATCCAGGTGCCCCTTAAAACTGGAATTCTTAACAGTTATACCTGGAAGGAATGGGGTATGGGAAGGGGAAGGCAGAGGAAACTTACTTTTTTCTTCTAAAGGCACTTCTCCTATTGCTTGAGCTTTTTACTCTGAACAGTTGTTATTTTTTTTAATGGAAGGGAATAAAGCTTAAAAGAATTAAAGATCTTATCCAGGGGCGCCTGGGTGGCTCAGTCCATTAAGCACCTGACTTCAGCTCAGGTCATGATCTCGCCATTCCTGAGTTTAAGCCCCGGACTCTGCTGACAGCTCAGAGCCTGCAGGCTGCTTCAGATTCTGCACCTCCCCCTTTCTCTGCCCCTCCTCTGCTCATGCTCTGACTCTCTCAAAATATCTTATCCATTCTTCAGATTCCTCTCAATAGTCACATTCTTTATAAAGCCTTACCTGTGTTTTTATATAATATTTTTTCCTGGTTCCAAGAAAACTTAAAGCCGGTCCTTTCTTTCCACATCGAAAGTATTTTATTCTCTTTCCTGGCCTTCTGTTTTAGTTGTATACTTACTCCCAGTCATCACAAAATCTCTCCCCATACCCAGAGCCGTGGCTGTCTTCAACAGCATTATATTTCCATCTTTGTAACCCCTTCTAGCACCGGCCACAGCTCCTTGCACATCCTTGATGATAGGTTTATATGATAGTTGAATGCCTTGGCTGGGAATGAGGATTTATTTCTACAAGCTGAAAGTCTAACATTTAAAGAACTTTTTTAAAAGTAGAATTTAATGAGCAAAAACCTCGTAAGTCTAGAGTTGCTTTTGTGAACTGACCTTATAGTTTAAACTCATTTTATAGGAAATATATCATCAGGTGTTTTAACTTAATTTCACAAAAAAGAATATTCACATTTTTTTTTTTACTTTATGAGTTTCAGAATCTCTTGGTCATTTATCAGCTTTGTACATTAGTGGCTCTGAATCATGATGTGAATTACTCGGAGAACCTTTTAAAAATATCAATGCCATGGGGTACCTGCTTGGCTTAGTTGGGAAAGCATGCCACTCTTGATCTCAGGGTTGTAAATTTGGGCCCCATGTTGGGTGGGTGTAGAGGTTACTTTAAAAAAATCTTAAAAAAAAAAGAAACAAACAAAAAACCTGACCTCAGGTTCAGTATTCTTTCCACTGAAGCACTTTATTGATATTTATGATATGGTATTAATTTTAGTGTTAATTGCTATAGAATAAGTTGTGACCAGGGGTGCCTGGCTGATTCCTTTTGGTAGACCATGTGACTTTTGATATCTTGGGGTTGTGCGTTCAAGCCCCACACTGACCATAGGACTTATTTAAAAAAAAAAAAAAAAAAAAAAGACTAAGCGTGACCATTCATGGTACTTTAAGGAACCATGACACTTAGATTCCTTAATCAAATTTTACTGCTCTTGTTTAGGCATAGGTTCGGCCCTATTCTGAAGACTCGTGCAGGGCAGATGATAGAACAGAGCAGGATGATAGAGCTAGGCAGCTGGGCATGGTCTAGGCACCTGTCTGCCGAAGCTGGCTTAAGCATGTGGAGATCCCATATTTCATATATTTGCAAGTTTATAGTTCTTACTATAAAGAGCGATATGCTTGGTCAAGTGTAGATGTTCCTTGTAATCAGTCCTCAGAGTAGTACATATTCTGATCCCCAGTTCTTTATTCTTTAGGCACCATCCAGGAAGACTACCTGAGGGAGCTGCTGACAACGATGGGAGACCGGTTTACGGATGAGGAGGTGGACGAGCTGTACAGAGAAGCGCCTATCGACAAAAAGGGGAATTTCAATTACATTGAGTTCACGTGCATCCTTAAACATGGAGCAAAAGACAAAGATGACTGAAAAGAACTTCAAATTCCAGCCAAATGTTCCTTGTTGCCACTTTGGGTATTTCTGAGAGGTTCTCTTAGAGTCTATTGCATGCCCTTAGCTTTGCAGCTTTTGCCTTTCTTGTTGTATTTATTCTCAGCCATTTGGGGCACATGCATCTCTATATTCAGACTGGAAATGGTACTTTTTGATTTTCAGAATAGAAAATAGGGCAATTTAACTTACCAGCCCCTCCCCCCCAATAACTGCAGTCTACACAGAGTCAGTATATTTTTTCAGAGAAAGTTATTCACTCAATTTTTTCTGAACCGTAATTAAACTTTATGATAAAAAACTTGCTTGTTTAAAACTTCTTATTTACTGAAATCGCCTTTTGTTAGTTGCTTCTTCCAAAAAAAAGGTAGATGAGGCTAAGCCTATAAAATGATATGGTTGTTAGACCTCTCCCTTACTCAGTCTAGTTTCTCTAACAGTCCTGTATCTATTATTTATTCCTTCCCCTCCCAAGGAAATCCAGTTTAAACTCCCTTAATTGGGTTTCTTGCACTTTGTCTTTTAGTTTTAAAAATACTTTTCTCTGGAATTTGCAGAGACTTGCTAGCTTTAGTAGCTTTAAATCTTTAAGTTTTACATATCTGTCAACACCCCTCTATACCTGTTCTAAGCTTTTGTGTATTACATCACATTGTTTAAAATTAGACCAGGCCACTGAGTATAATTTTAATTTGTCCTAATTTTTTAAACTATTTTAGCTCCAAAGGTTTTATGGAATGCTTCTTACCAAAAAGATTTTTTTGTACTAAATTTCAAAATGTTGGAAATACAATCCAGTATTTTTTATTGTATGTAGTTTCTCTTTAATACAACAGTCCCTATTGAAATACCATGTTTGTTTAGACAGAGATTCACCATGAGTTCATGTATGAATTTTGGACATTCCTGACCTGCCCACAATCAAAACAGCTGAAGCCACATGCCTGGGAAAGTGAGATCATTATTTCAATCCTAAAAATAACTTGTGCTTTCTGCAGAAATGCAGGACTATTTCAGAGTTAATCAGAAAGTGGTAGAGTTTCATTTGCTTCAGGCTTCAAAACTCTAATTTTCAAATACTCATGAGTTTTAAAAAGACTTTGAAATGTTGGGGGGAAAAGTTGGTTAAAGAGTTGACAGCCTACAAAGATGAGTAATTGACAATTACTCTAATAATTTTGTGTTTTATGCTACTATTAATAAGATGTTACCTCATTCAATAAACAATTACTGAATGCCTTCAAGGCAGCAGACCTTTGTACTCAACAGGATAGGTGAGTGAGATCCTTTAATCTGGTGCAGCCAGCTTTATAGAATAGAAGTAGAAAGTCTAGGAGCAAGACTGCTTCTTGCCCCCTTCAAGGTTAAAATCTTCACCCTACTATAACTTTTTGCCCTTTATGTGTTTCAGAATTTCATGCAGTGAGTTAAGCAAAATAGTTTTTCTTTCTTTTTTTTTTTTTAATGTTTTTTATTTATTTATTTCTGAGAGAGTGTATGTGTGAGCAGGGGAGGGTCAGAGAGAGACGGAGACACAGAATCTGAGACAGGCTCCAGGCTCTGAGCTAGCTATCAGCACAGAGCCCGATGCGGGGCTTGAACCCATGAACCAGGAGATCATGACCTGAGCGGAAGTCAGACGCTTAACCGACTGAGCCACCCAGGCACCCTGCAAAATACTTTTTCTAGGCTCATAGTCTTGATGCTAAAATGCTGTTTGTTGAATTGAATTTCCATTTCAACTGAAAAAAAAGGTCACTTCTGCTTTTAATAAATTTCCAAATAACATTCTTTCCACTACAGAAACAAAGTGATCTCATCTACTAAAATAAGCTCTTACGGTATCTGCATTTTCATTTCAAATAACTTATCAAAGAGTCAGCTTCCATTAGGAACAGTGAATGGTCTCCCTTGAATGAATAAATCTCCTTATAAAACAATAGCATTCTCCACATAGTAACTAGACTTTGCTTAAGCAAAGATAATTGCCAATAAAAAGCTGAAACACCTACTCCGAAAGTGGATTTGACATAAACTAGTCTCCATGATGAAAGTCTTACATTCCAAAAGTTCTCATGAAACCAACCTACTGCATCCTTACCTACCTGCCTATGATTATATTAACATTTGGACTTCAGGGCCCAAATTTTACTTGATCAAGGAGCCTGTGACTCAAGAGCAGGAATTGATGAGCACTACTGGGAAAAAAGGGAGGAAAGCCAAGCTAGTAAAATCAAAATCTGAAAAGGAAAGGCAACCATTTCCTATAAAATTTGAAGAGAGAGGGGACAAGTGGTATAACTCCTAGATTTATGGATATGCAGAAAAGTGAGGATCAGATCCAAGATGATAAAAGGGCTTGCTTGGAGAGGGAGAGTCACAAAAACAGTATTGTGGAAACCAAGTGGATAGTTTCAAGAGAGGAGGTTAGTCAATAGTGTTGAGACAGAAAAGTTGAGTATAGGAAAGTTTAAATGAGGCCACTAGATCAAGTAATTGGTCACCTTTGCAGAATCCATAGTGCAGCATGAAATGGTAGATAATGCCTAGGTTTAGCTGTCAGGCTGATCTGCATTTTAATCCCATTTTTGCTACATTGCTTTATAACCTTAGGTAGGTTAAATTTTTTCCAAGCTCTATTCATTTGTAAAATGGAAGTAATGCTATTGGTTCATAATAGGAACATAATCTATTAATAAATAAAGCAACACTTTTTGTGACTAAGAGCAGTACGGGGTTTAGAGCCACCCTTGAATGAGTGAATTCCGCCCCTTAATTTGGCTAGTTTTGTATCCTTGGCAAGTCACTTTTAAGTATCTGTTTCATCACCTTTAAAGGGATGGTACCCTTCAAGCGTGTTGTGAAATTTAGAAACACTAAAGTTAAATAGTGTGGTACACGGTAGGTATTCAAAAGCTGTTCTGTTTGCGGGGGGTGGGGGGGGTGGGGGGTGCGGGGGGAGGGGGCTGAAGCTTGGCAATGAAAAGAAGCTTGAAGGGAAGCTCAGGATCAACGGGCTCATCTTTAGAGATTCAAGCCTGTTTGCAGACAGAGGAGAAAGACAAACTGGAAGAAACAGTGAAACAAAATGAATTATGTCCAAGAGATAGGAAGGGCTAGAACCTAGATCAAATATTGTAGGATTATCCTTAGAGAAATGAAAACAGATACTTCTCCCTCTGAAAAAAAAGGAAAGAATAGGTGATATGAGTTTAATGGCAGTTGGAGATTAAGTAAAAAGGCTGAGGTCAGGAGAAACATCCATAGTTGTTTGATAGTAAATCAGCTCAAATTAGAATATTATTAAAGGGCTATACTAAGGATTTAATGAAAATATACATTAAGCCTATCAGTTTCCTGGTACCAACTAAATGCTCAAGTAGTTTTTTAGATTTCCTGAGTAGATCCAATCATTAGACTTGTTTGTGTCTTTCTAGGTCCTTAGTGTACAATTTCTTGATTTCCCTGAAACGTGATTTTTTATTTTTCTTGAAAGCACTGCTGGAACTAATCCCACATGGAAGAAATGCCCAGTTTCCCCAATGCTGCTTCTCCCATTCTACTTGCTTAAACTCCCAAGACCCCGTATCTTTTTTCAATGTTTGTTTATTTTTGAGAGAGAGACAGAATGAGAATGGGGGAGGGGCAGTGAGAGAGGGAGACAAAGAATCTGAAGCAGGTTCCAGGCTCTGAGCTGTCAGCACTGAGAGGTCATGACCTGAGCTGAAGTCAGACACTTAACTGATTGAGCCACCCGGCCACCCCCTGCCTTTTTAAAAAAATTTCTTAAGTCCCTGTATCCTTTTACAATAGATTTCTATGCCATAATGTCTTATTTATCCATATGCATTTTATAGTTGTAATGAATATACAACTTTTTAGTTTAATATATCTTAAATTATTTTTCATGTTTTGGCATTGCCATCTTTTTTTATTTGTAGCCATTCTTTTTAATGACCACAATTACCTTCAAAAAGGATATGCCTTAATTAGCCATCACCCAAGTGCTAGATATTTAGATAATTGGCTTTTTGTTAATAATGTTTTTCTTTTGTATCTAAAGAACAATATATCCTAGAATTATTTTTCCGAACAGAGCTCTCCAGAACTTTGTGATGATAGAAATGCTCTGTGTGCTTTCCAATAAGAACACTAGCCACATATGGCTACTGAGCACTTAAAATGTGTCTAATATAACTGAGGAACTAAGTTTTTAATTTGAATTTAAATAGCCACATGTAGTTAGTGACTATTGTATTGGAAAGCAGTTCTATAAACAAATATGGAGATCAAAGTCAAAGTACAGTCAGAGTCCCTCAGCTGTCATCTTAACTCAGCTGGCCAAGGCAAGGGCTTATGGAATGGTAATAGACATACTTGAAGGGCTCTATGACAAAGACCTAAAGAAGCCAAACTCTTGATTTTGAGTGTTAAAAAATACTGTTGGACGAAAGAGCAGATTGCTGCCAAGAGAAAGAGTAATTATTTTAGAACCAGGTGTGACGTTTCAGAAACTGCTTTCCAAATTCTGAGAAAATGCATTCCCTGATTATCTGGGCCTTGGGCAGTGTTACTCAGATTAAGACCACAGCATCAGCATCCCCTGGGTACTTACTAGAAATGCAAATTATTTTTTTCTAATATTTTTATTTCTAGGAGAGAGAAAGAGAGAGAGAGAGAGACAGTGTGAGCAGGGGAGGGTCAGAGAGAGAGAGGGAGACACAGACTCTGAAATAGGCTCCAGGCTCCGAGCTAGCAGTCAGCGCGAGCCCGACGCGGGGCTCGAACCCACGAACCGCGAGATCATGACCTAAGCGAAAGCCAGACGCTCAACCGACTAAGCCACCCAGGCGCCCCTAGAAATGCAAATTATTGCTTCACCTTGGACCTATTGAATCTGAGTATCTGGAGTTGAGGCTCAAGAACCTTTTACTAAGCCTTCCTGGTTTTGCTTACACATGCTGCTGTTTAAGAACTGCTATAGATGCTGAGCACATGGTTCTTAATATCTAGGAATTTCTGACCAAAGATTTCTAGAATATAAAAGACTATTATTCCTCTCCCTAGCATCTGGCACACTTTCAGGCAATCTCACAAGTGCTCGATAAAGGTTTGCTATCGGCTTACCCTCCATTACGCAGCAATAGTGGTATTCATCTATATTATTATAGGGTGAGGGAACTGAAGGTTACAGGCACAAATGGTATGTAGAACAAAACTTGTAGAATGTAGCTTCGTGGTTTCCTGTTTTGACGAACAGCATTTTATGTGCGTGCGCCCTCGTACCTATGCGTGTGCGTGATTCTGTCATCTACTGACCCAAAGGAAAGCAAACATTTTGAATAAAATTTCTTGTGGTTGTAAGGGGAACGAAAGAGTCATAGGCCAGCCGTGGTCTGTAAGGCCATAAAGCTTATAATTTGAGGGCTAAATGACAGAACTCTGGCTGGAGCTCAGCTGAGAAAGAACGGGTTTTCCAGCAGGCAGGGATCCGCCCCGCCGCCGCCCTCTTACCTTCCGCAGTGTTACGCGGGACTCCCCCTAACTAGTTGTTTTACTTCAAGTTCAAATGGAACTACGCGAGCTTTACTTTAATGTGCCAACTGTGGGAGCCCAGGGTGGGAGTCTTTCGGCGACCGGGGTCCCCCAAATCCTGAGGGCTCGCGCCCCGCCCCGCCCCGCCCCGCCCCATTGGGTCAAATTCCAGGCCCGGGCCGGCGCCCCGCGGCCCAGGAATGCGGAAGGGCCGCGGGAACCCGCCGCAGAAGGCGGGGGAGGAGGGCGGGCCGCGGGGCTACAGCCGCACGCTGGAGGGGATGCGGCAGCAGACGCAACAGGCCACAGAAGACGACTAAAGGCCAGGCTGTGTTCTTCGGCCGCAGCCTCGCTCCTCGGCCGACATAGCGGGCTTCGCGCGGTCCTGAGCAAGAATCCGTCTTGCAACCCCCCGTCCCGAGTTGGATCTCGCCGCGCCTTCCGGTGCGCTTTCCGGTCCACCTCTCGAGGCAGGAAGTGCCGGGCTCCGCCACTGTAGCACCACAGCCCAGCGGTCGTCGCCGTCGCTCGTCGTCTCGCGCAGGGCAGTCCGGGCTCTGGTGTCTGGCAGCGGTGAGTGGAGCTGGCCCCCGCGCGCGACACCCCTCGGGCCGCACCCCTCCCCCCTCCCAGCCTCGCGCCCGCCGTCGGGACCCCGCCCCTGGGGACCCGGGGGCCAGGCGCTGCGGAACCTGGTTGGGTAAGGGGTCGATGAGGAGGCCGTGGGAGAGGCCGCCTTAGGCCTGGGCGTTGAGAGGCCGGGCAGCGCCAGGGCGGATGAAGCCGGGATGGGGAGACGCCCTGCTGGAAAAGGTGGCTGGTGCCCGGCAGCGCGGAGACGGGCCCTGCGTCACCCGGGTGACTTCACACACCTGGTGCCTCCGACCTCCCCGCGGCCCCGCTGCCAGCGCCGGCACTGTGTCCCCACACAGGGCTGGATGCTTTGGTGGATGCAGGAGTCTAGTGGTGAGTGCTTCTTTGCCTTAGGTGAAGTGTCAAAGGAAACTTAGAGAACCTGTCCCGGAGTGCATGGTTGGTATAGGCTAAAATGGAATGATTTCCGTAGGAGTCGTAACTCGCACAGTGTCTTGCATCTTGTAAAGAGTCAGTTCATTCGTGTTGATCGAAGAAAAGGACAAATCACAAAAGTCAAGACAGATTTCCTGAAGAAAAAAAATACCGTCCTCTGAAGACCTTGGATTCAGCCCCAGGAGGTAGAACTGAAGTATTTCTGGCAGGATCTCTGGTTGGGAGGAACAAGAGGAAAGGCTCAAAAGGTGGGAATTGTGTTGTGTGAAAAGGAAACAGTGGGGAGACCAGTCTGAATGGAACAAGAACAATAATGAGTAATAGTTGGATATAAAGGTAGTTAGGGTAGAGAAGTGAGGCGTTTTTATGGATGTCTTGAAAACTTGGCCGAGAAAGAAAAGATTATGTAAGAGGCATTAGGCAGTCATTTTGGATTTCATTAGTAAGGGAGTAATATGAAGAAAGAGGTGCTTAAAGAATTAGCTTGGCAGCCTTTGTTTAGGATGGATTTGGAATGGTCCTTTCCTAAGAGAAGAATCATAGCATTTTAGAATTCAGAAGAACCTTAAAGATTATCTTGTGAAAGGGGCACCTGGGTGGCTCAGTCGGTTGGGCATCCAACTTCGATTCAGGTCATGATCTCACGGTTCGTGGGTTTGAGCCCCGCGTCGGGCTCTGTGCTGACAGCTAGCTCAGAGCCTGGAGCCTGTTTCAGATTCTGTGTCTCCCTGTCTCTCTCTGACCCATCCCTGCTCACACTGTTTCTCTCTCTCTCAGAAATAAATAAAAAACATTAAAAATTAAAAAAGAAAAAAGATTATCTTGTGAAATAGATGACCTGTTTTACAGATTATTTTATAACTGAGGAAACTGAAACCCAGAGAAGCGAGATAATTTGCCCAAGGTCACTTGAAGGATTCATGTGTGCCACCCATTTTCTTTGTAAGCATTAGATGGACCCCACTGGACCCTCATAACTAAGTGCACAGCTTTTTGTTTGTTAAAGCTCTGTTGAGTGAAACAGCTTCTATAATGGATTGCTTGATATTTGTTTATGCTTTAATGAGACTGAGTTTCGACAGGATGAACTGAAACCTCTGAAGAACAGATGAGGTGAGGGTTGTGGGATTAGGGAAAATAAGAGCACTTAGAGCCTGTAAATGGGGTCGGTTGTCCCTCTCTTCTAGGATTCAAAGACACCAAGTACCAAGAGAAGCTTTTCATTGCCAGCAGTGTTGGGATCTTCCTTATTCTGCATCTTAGCTGTGTGGTAGCCTTGCTTGTACCCCAGCTAGATACTGGTGTTTTCATGATAGAGAATTTCAGCTCTCTGTAGGGGCTAGTAATACAGGCTCTGGAGCTAGACTTCACGAGTACAGATCCCGAATTTAAATTCTACCATTTTCGGGGTGCTTTGGTGGCTCAATCAGTTAGGCATCTGACTCTTTAATTTTGGCTCAGGTCATGATCTCACAGTTCCTGAGTTCGAGCCTCACTGTCAGGCTCTGTGCTGACAGCTCAGAGCCTGCTTGGGACTCTTTCTCTCTCTCTCTCTCTCACTCACTCTCCCCCGCTTGCGTCTTCTCTCTTTCTCAAAATAAACAAATTTTAAAATAAATAAATAAATTTCTGTTTTCTAGCTGTGTAGCTGCAGGCAGATTGTTTATTCTCTTTGCCCTAATTTTCTTTTCTGAGAAATGGAGATAACAGCACTTATATCATAAGTTGTGAGGATTAAATATGTTAATGCATGTGAAATGCTTAGACCAGTGCCTAGCACATATTTAGCACTCAATAATTGTGTTGTTAGCATTGTTTCTTCCCGGCATAGAATAGGGGGTAGCTGGTAAGTTTTGTCAAGGATCTCTTGAGGAAAAGATTTATTTTAGGAGTCAGATCCTGGATCTACTTTATAATGAATATATGTATATCTAATTCTGTCTGTGATAGGAAAAAACATACGTATGTATTTGCTTTATAAATATTTATAGAGCACCTGCTGAGTGTAAGGTACTCTACCACACAATCTAAGGTTAGAAGGCTAAATGCTGTAAGAATGTATAGGTAAATGGTATGGCAAGAGAATATTACTGGGCAATAAAAAAAGAATAAACCACAGATAAATGCAACAAGATAGATGAATCTCAAAAATATAGTGAGTAAAAGAAGTGAGGCCTGTAGAATATACACTGTATAATTCCATTTATAAGAATTTCAAAGACAGACAAAACGAATTTATGGTTAAGTTAATAAATTTCTGGTTTATAGAAATCTGAGCAATGGTTGCTTATGGGAGAGGATTATTGACTTTGAAGGAACTTTCTGGAGTGATGTTAATATTTATAACTTGATTGGGATGGTGGTTATATGAGTGTTCATGTTTACAAAAACTCATTTTTAAGATCTGTGCATTGCACCACATATAAATTTCACTGCAGTAAAACAAAATGATACGGGAGGTCAGGGGATGGAAAGCTTACTGCCACCTGGGATGATCATAAAACCCATAATAAAAAAATGACAGCATTATAACATATATGGGAAATACTAAAATATTTATGCTATGGGGAAAGTTCAGCCGAAAGTTCAGTTTCCTGAGAGGAAGGCTGTAAAAATTGTGTTTGGCTCTTTAAGAAAAATAGATATAATAATTTATAGAACGGATTACATATTTGCCTAAAAATGTAGCATGAAAACAATGATATGTCATAAGTGTAATGAGGTTAATTTTGTGGACTGTTCTAGCTTGATTATACACTAAATTCTTATGATTACTGTTTTCAGACGGTTGCTCATGTATCCAGTGATTTGATCCTCCTAATTAGCACCAACATTAGTCTTGACTATAATAATGACCATGGGAATCCATGAGAAATTTCTAAAGATTCTGATAGACGTTGGTGAGCATGAGAATTCAATCAGAAATGACTTTAGCTTTTAGCAGATCTGCCCTGCTCTGCTCTTTGCATTTATTTACTGTCAGGCCTCACCTTCTGCCTCTGCTTATAAATTGTCTTTGCTAAAGGGAGACCTCCTAAGTATCCTGCACCTGAGCGTCTCCACTACCATTCTACTGTAGCTTGGCTAAAACTTGAACTCTTCATCATCCCTTTGCTCACAAAACCATTTCCTCCTTCCTACTCAGTTACCTTTTTTTTTTTTTTTTTTTTAAATAAGCTTCATGCCCAGCCTGGAGCCCAAACAACCTTGAGTTCAAGACCCGAACTGAGATCAGGAGTCAGATGCCTAACCCACTGAGCCACTCAGGTGCCCCCCAATTACCTCATTTTTAGTGGTAACCTTATGCTCCTGGTTTTTTGACCAGCACCTGAGGAAAGCATAATACTTCAAGGATAGAGCTTTGCAAGAAACTCCAATTAGGAAGCAAGACGAACTAGCAAAACAGTGTAGGAGTCAGAAGAATAGGATAGTGTTGATGGGAATGTTGAGGAAGTGCCTGGCTCAGTCAAAGCATGCACCTCTTGATCTTAGGGGGTTGTGAGCTCAAGCCCCCCATTAGGGATAGCGATTACTTAAAAATAAAGAAACTTTAAAAAAAGTAATTAGATAGTATTATGAATAATTATGGACTAACATTTAAAGACCTAGATGAAATGGTTAAATTACTAGAAAAACATTTTTTTAATGCCCAAAACTGAGAGTGCCAGATTGGCTTAGTCGGTAGAGTGGATGACTCTTGATCTCGGTTGTAGTTGGGTGTAGAGATTCCTTAAAAAAAATCTTTAGAAAAAGAGGAACCCACAGAACTTGGAGAAAATCAAATAGAAGGAATTAAAATTTTCTAACCAAGAATAGAAAATTTCCTATCCAATGCAAACTTGACTGTAGCTATAATCCTGAAATAAAGGCATTGCCCTATTTTAATATTAAAGCGGTCAAGGAAACACAGTGGCTTTTTTTAGTTTTCCTGTACTATATAACAAATTATCCCAAACTCAGCACCTTAAAAACACAATAGTTTCTGAGGGTCTGGTATGCCAAGGCAGCTAAACTAGTGGTTCTGAGTCTCATGAGGTTGCAGTCCAGAAGTCAGCTGGGTTGGCACATATTTGAAGGAAGACCAGTCTCAAAGATGGCTGAGTCACATGGCTGGCAAGTTGGTATTGGCAACTGAAGAACTCGCCACAAGAAAAGCTCTCTGTCCTCCTATTTGCCTAAAAGCAGGACATAAATTTACATAGGTGTCCTTCCTCCCCTCTCTACCAGGAAGGACAAAGGTTATTCTCTGGAGACAACTTGAGACTCTTATCATCAGAGAAAGCCCTGACTAAATCTTCCTGACAAGGCTTACCCTGTTTGCGTGCTTTTCCTGGTAGCCTTCCCTTACTAGCCTCTTCCCCTCACACACCTGTCCTCTTTGTTTTCAGCTGAAGATGATATTTAAGCTGAGTTATTTTTATTTAAAAAAAATTTTTTTTAGGCTAAGTTTGAGATACCTTTCTGAGTTGGCTTTTCCCTGGGTATCTCTGCTGCTACACATGTTAATAACCTTCTGTTTTCTCTTGTGAATCTGTAACTACAGAGGTGGCAGCCGAGAACTCAGAAAGGTAGAAGGAAAATTATTTTACCTCCCTACACTTTCACAGGTCAACCCTTTTCACTGTTGGTGGGGACTGCGCGAGGGCATGAGAAATGCAGAGGGAACTACCACAGCCAAGGAACGAGTTCAGATGCTCTCAGAGGCCAGGCCATCACATAAACAAATACCAGCTGTGACAGGAAGATGTAGGGAGTAGTGGGGATTGCTCTCTGAATACTCATTATCTACAGGAACTTATGAAGGCTGGTCAACTGATTATCATACAGTTTTCAAGCATCTGAAATTTGTTTTTATTAAAGTAAACTTCAGTTTTTTACAATGTTGGCAAACTAACTCAGTTACAGAAGAAGGCATTTAAAAAGGTCATCCCTGGGAG